AAGGAGGGAAGAAGGGATGGAGGGAAGCAAGAAGGGAGGGAGGGAGGGAAGAAGGAAAGAAGGAAGAAGAAAAGAAAGAAGAAAGGAACAAAGGAAAGTTCTCTGCATGTTTCTCCCCTACTACATTATACTACTTCTCATTACATCACAGATCTCATAATACTATTTTGCATTTGCAAAGCAATTCAAGTCCACTCAACAAACATTTGTTAAGTATCTAATATGTCTAGGTAGTGGACAGTTTATAGAGCACCTTATGATATGCTATTTCATTTAAGGCTGACAACAACCCTATCAAGAAGATATTGCAGGTATTTCTATCCTCATTTTGTAGGAGGGTACTCAAGTGAGGATGAGTAAGAAGTCAAAGTCAGCCTGCTAGGAACTTGAACTGACACCTTCCTATGCTTAGTGCAGTGCTCCCATCCCTCTGCAGTCCTCCCCCTTGTAACACTGACCTTACTAGATCATCACATACTTACAATACATATAGTACCAAGAGAATACACTGTTAAGGCACCATAAACATCCCTATGATATAAAATTCTCAGCCGACATCCAATCAAAATGCAACTCTAAGGATTTTGGAGAAATGAATACGCGCGCACGTAGCAAGCGCACGTGTGTACGTGTGTGTGTGTGTGTGTGTGTGTGTGTGTGTGTGTATTGTTTTTTCATTTCTCAAAGAATTAGGGTGGGGGCATGTTCTAATGCAAATACTTCAATACAGCAGTTACCATATGAACAATTGTTATATTCCATTAACTAATGAAAAAGAGTGAAAAATTAACTCAATTGTCTAGGGGCTTCCTCTGCTAACTGGACAGGATATCATTTGTCACTATGAGCCATGACACCATTAATTCTGCTTTGTGAAAGGAGAGCTCTCCTAGATTTACCTTACAGGACTTTATCCTCAGAGTTGAGCTTTGGTAAATATATGTGTTGTCTTTGGCAGAACTGTTCCTCCAGATGCAGGAAAGGGGTGCAGATTCATCACATGGAGAAAGACAAAGTGATTTACTGATAGTTTAAAAGGCAAATCTTAAACTACCTTCATGAAACTCACCAATGAAATACTAAGACTAGACCAACATGACCTTCAGAATCACCTTGTATGACAGACTCTTTAATTTGACTAAATGTTAGAATTAGTAGATGTCAAATAGAAAATTAGAAGAAAATTCAATATAGCTTTGAGTTGGAAAAAAATGTAAATATGATATAGATGGCTAGACTATGAGTCAGAAGGTGAAAATTTCAGTAAACTACCTGGTAAAATGCAGATCCTCCTCTATGATCATACTCTACCCTAACTCCAGTCTTCCACTCACTACAACAAGTAATTACTTTATGACTTTAGGTTCACAGATTTAGCACTGATCATGTTGGGATTCATGTTTATTTTTAAACTGACATTCTTTGTATTTCCCTCCATCAAGAATTCCCTGTTGCTAAATTATTTCATTCAAGAGATCCAGATTAAAATAATATTTTTTTCCTATGCATATACCAAGATATTGCCTTTTCAAAAAGCTAAGCATATTATTAAGTGTTTTATTAAACTTTATGTTGATCTTACATATTGACGAACTTTTAAAGAAAATAAAGTCTAATGTATAATTCAGTACCTTTCTCACTAATCCATAACAGTTTAAGCCTCCTAGAATTTCACTTTTTTCCCCTTTATGACTTCAAAGAAAGAAACACATTCTCCCTTCATCTTTTTTGCTTTGTTGTCAGTATCACTAGGTTTTTCAGTCTTCTCAGTTCCTCTGCTTTACCTACCATCATCAAAGACCCTCACATCTTCCTTATCTGTTCTATAGGTGAGGAAATGAGAGATGTTGCTGACAGCTTCCAAACTAATTAGAGGTGCACTATTGCATGAGTTCATTAAATCATAACTGACATCTCAAAGCAATTTATTGCTCTTTTGAGATGATACTTATAATTTCTTTTGTAAGATTTTAGATTTGCCTTTGCAGTTTCTCAGCTCTCAGTTCATAGTTTCTATAGCATGTAGCAGAAAGATAAAAAATAAATTAGGATTCATAGTTTCATGGGTTATCTCTAACAACTGAGTAAAATATTTTCCCAAAATATGTAAGTGATTTTTCCACTCTGCTGATAAAGAAGAATGAAATGTCCCCTTTCCTTTTCCTTAGCTTTCCTGCTATAAAAAGTGCTAATTCAGTATAATTTTACAGAGAAGAAATTTGAAGTCCAGATTGGACTTCAATGATTTGTCCAAGGTCACACAGTAAGTACCAAAGTCAGTAAGAGAACCTATGCCCTCTGACCCCAAATTTAATTCTAAGTTCAGACATTAGGAAAGATTAGTTCAGAGACTACTTATAGCTTACAACAGGACAGGAGAAAACAAAAATACTTCTATAAACCATTCCAAAGAAACCATAAACCAAAGGAAGGAAGCCTTTTTTTTTTTTGGACAATTCTTTCAACTTAAAATAAATTTTATTACTTCACGTTTTAAGAACCAATGTGTGAATTTATCTATGTCAGGAGCAGCCCGTTCCCCTCTGATAATACCACTATCATGGGGCAAGCACTTACCACTTCACTCCTGAATTGTTGCAATAGCCTGCTGGTTGGTCTCCACGATGTTCCTAAGGTGCAAGTCTGACCTCCTCCCCTGCATCCCTTGGGCCCCACAGGTCCTCAATAAACTCTAGTGGCTCTCTGTCAGCTCCAGGGTCAAATATAAAATCCTCTGTTTGGTGTTCAAAGCCTTTCACATCGTATCCTTCTCCCCCTCTCCCATAACCTTCCAATCTTTTTATACCTTACACCCCAGTAAGTACTCTGAGATCCAGTGACATTTGCCTCTTTTTTTTTTAGTCTTTTTTCAGCAGTGTCCAACTCTTCATGACCCCAATTTGGGGTTTTCTGAGCAAAAATAGTGGAGTGGTTTGCCATGTCCTTTTCTAGCTCATTTGACAGATGAGGAAACTGAGGCAAACAAGGATAAGTGACTTGGCCAGGGTCACACAGTTAATAAGTATCTAAGGCCATATTTGAACTCCAGGTCCAGCACTCTGTCCATTGAGCCACCTAGCTGTCCTTGATATTATCATTCATTAACTGAAAAACATATACAGAATAACATAGCAGAAAGAAGGTTGAATTTGTAGTCGAAGGACCTGGGTCAGAGGACATCAGAGCTCTGCTACTTATTACCCCCACGACCTTGGTCATTTCAGCTTTTGGAGACTTAGTTTCATCATCAGTAAGAGAGGATTTGACTAAATGCAATCTAATGTCCCTTCTGGCTTGAAATTTGATCCCTCCCAACTTCAATCATATACAGATTCAAAATAAATTCTACAAAAGCATGCATACACTCTCTTTAATTAATCTTTACATACATATATATATGTGTGTATATATGTATGTATGTATATATGTATGTGTGTATATGTATATGTAATGTACATATGTATGTATATCTATATGTATAGGTATATGTATGTATGGGAGGAGAGAGGGTCTAGAATATTCTGACCTCCACTTACTTTTCCAGATTTATTTAATTACTCCCCTTAATATATTTCTACATCCCAGTCAAATTGGACTATAAGCTGTTCCCTGAATGCCACAAACTCTTAACTCCATGTCTTTGAAATAGTGATAATCTTCACGAGTGGGATGAACTCTTTCTTCATCTCCACCTCTTAGTATCCCCACCTTCCTTCAGGGGTTAGCTCAGATACCACTTATGGGGAGCCTTTCTTGATTCTACTCTCCTATCCAAACTGTAGGGCTTTTCTGCTCCTCAAATAATCTTCTATCACTTACTTGTACCTGTATTTCCCCTAGGAGACTACAGGCTCATTTAGAGCAGAGATTTGTTTTGTTTTAGTCTTTGTGTACCTAGTGACTAAGTGCTTTATACATAGTAGGCACATAGTATATGTAGGCACACATTTTGAATCAGTTAGGATTTAATGATTTGGGGGGGCAGCAGAGTTTCAAACTCCATTCTGGAATGTCTGGATTACTGCAGCAATGTGCCTGGTTTCCCAAATTTGTCAGGGATATTTCAAGCATACCTAAAAGTTCTCTTTTTTCCCCATTAAATTGATTAAGTTAAATTAAATTTCATATCATTGAACTCCTGCTTTAAATTGGCATCAACATCTTTATCTATAGAATTCAATCAATTCCTATTGTATCTTATTTTTATAAGTAATTTATTTTTACTTAGAAGAGACAAATTTTGATCTTTCCTTGTCCTTGAAAAGATTTAGATCTAATTGAACTATCTAAGGATGCATGCCTTCTAGCCCAATTCTTAATCATCTTAAGTCAAAGGGCCAGTATGCTTCTCCTCTCAGGAATGACGCAGCAGAAGACAACAGAATGCCTTACATATTCCAAGATGAGTGGACTATGGCCACGTCAGCACATCCTCCCAGATTTTAAGATGAGATTGCTTCACCCATCAAACAGAGCTGTGAGGATGGAGACTGGTTTGTCAGCATCCTTGCTGCATCACAGGGCAGATGTTGTCACCCAGTCTTTGGTACCTCACGTGGGGGTCAGGGGACAGGGTCCTGGGAGGCAGAATGAGGCCAATAGGAGTCTTTCTCTAACTGAAGCCTGATGACTGCCCCATTTGCTACTATTAGTGCTGCATAAGGGAACGGGGAGAATTCAGCATTCTTGCGAGCCCAGCTGTTCAGGGCCCATGCTCTGCTCAGTGCACAAGGCCTGGCAGCTTCTGTACAGTCTCCCAGGGTCTCATTTGCCTGGCCTGATCACTCTCCATCCTATTCCAGCTGGCCATGTTTTTAAATCTATTGATTCAAGAGCTTACACTCTCACTAGAATAATAGTACATCCTCACATGTACTGCTTCAAGGCCTTCTCACTCCTTTAGCTTAATCATGTCAAAGGAGATGATTCTATCTCAGCGAACACAAAATGCATTAACAGCGCTACATCCCTCATGCACTCCTCTGGGAAACATACTTTACCTTTCAATTGGGGGCTGTGAACATGCATTCTTTGAAAATGCAGGTTTATTGGAATGAATTCTAATATCTTCTCTCCTTTGCTGCAGCTTGATCTGAAGGAAGACCCTGAAAAAGAAACTACTTTAAGTACCATTAAGTATAGTTCCACGTCTGCTCAAGCCAACGAGAGACAAACATATCTGTGTCACTGCTCTTGATTATTTTTTTTAAGCCTGTGCAATGATGCTTTAAAGCATGGAAATCCTAATAACCACACCTCTGCTTGCAGCCACAGAATTATATTTGACTCACAAGACAAATAAATTTTGTGAGGTTTGCTTTAGGTAGCAGGCACAATGCTTAATGTAAAATAAGACCAGCATGTGCTAGGAATTATGCCCTATTTTACCTATATAAATACTTACAGATCTATAGAAATAGATAACATATGTTTACATGTTCTAAAGGCACAAGAAATGAGAGAAAGCACAACTAATTTATAATTGTTCAATTAGATAACAGTAAAGTTTTCCCTTCCTATGATTCATCAATGGTAACAATGAAAAGTTTTGAGGGAGAAAGCATTCATATTAATAATAGAACAAAATGAAAGAAATGTTATAAAAGCATATTTATTTAGATATACACTAGCTTACAAAGCAGCATAGGATTTGTAAGACCGTAACATAATGTAGTTAGAGCCAGAGATGACTTTAGAATCCATCTAGTTAAACCTTATATTTAATTGATGAAAAAAGCCCATTAAAGTAATAAATGAAATAGGTCTTGAACCTTGTCTTAGAATTCCCATGCTTTTTACATCATGTTATGGTGTATACATATATACACACACACACACACATACATACACACACACACACACACATATACCCCAAACCCAATTTCTGCATTCAGGTGTTTAAAAGTTATATCTGGTAATAAATTGATCATTTTTGCAAAAAGAAAATGTAAGGGGAAAATAAAAATTACTAATATTTCTTGAAAGTGCTTTTGAGGCATTCTGCAAAGGACTTTGTTTACAATAACCTACGAGCAAGTAGTATAAGACTATCTGAGGTAGTCTAGTTTTCATAACTTCATTTCACGGATTGGGAAACAGGCTCAGGATGTCAAGGGTCACATAGCTTTAGTTTTTAAAACTAGGATTATTCTAATTCAAGTATCCTGACTCTAAGCCTGGGACATCTTCACATCAGCTTCTTGGAACAATTCCTACTTTCCTTCAAAGCTCAGCTTAAGTTTCTCCTCATACAGTAAAGCTTTCCTATTCCCCAAAATTATTGTGTTTTCTGCCTCCTGAAACTGCTTTGTATAACTTCGTACACACTGTGTATTTACTTATTAGTATAGGAGTTGTGTACCTGCAACAGAATGTAAGCTTCTTGAGAGTAAGGGCTGGTTGGGTGTTACCTTTGAATCCCAAGGGCCTAGCAAAGTTGCCACTTCATTGATATTTGTTGAAATAAATTGAATTCCATGATGCTCACCATATGGTAACTTAGAATTTGCAGTGAAAAAAGGTAAGACCTCACTCAAAAGTTGAAGAACAGATGAGAAGCATTGATAATCAATCTTAATGGGAGATAACCAGGACTTGGTATCAGAAGGTATGACAATTAGTCCTATTAATATATCGTTTTGTTTTAAGAAGGCAAACATATAAAATTAATAGTTAATTAATATTAATTAGCATTAATAATTGATATCAATTAGCACAAATAATTAATATTAATAGTACCTACCAGCTAATAATGCCACTCGGATTCTGCAAGTTGCCTTTCTACTAGTGAGCTAAAAATGTTCTGTGCTCCTAAGATGATATATGGCTGATTACTTTTACCTTGATTTCTAGAATCATAGAATGTTAGAACTAAAATGAACTTTAGAAATAATCTAGTTCAACCTATCCCTGCTTTTAGAGACAAGGGATCTAGGGCCCATTGAAGTGAAATGGCTTGCCCTATGGTCACAAAGCTAGTTAGTGGTAGGACTTCATAGGATGCAGGGACAGTATTGAAGAATGGTCTGAGTTCACCTGTTTCTGTTGAATAATGAAAATCTACTGCTCTCCAGAATCCTGTGAGGCAACTCCAGATCTCCCTCAGCTGGCAGTTAGCTCCCACAGAAGACTACAGGCCATCCCAGTCAGAAAGAACAGACACTTTTTTTCCTCTCCTCCCCCTTCTCTTTCTTCTGTAGTCATTCATACTGTTTCTGACTTCCTACCATGCGGGAGCTGTCATTCCACTGACTAAACAGAGAGACTAGTTGCAAACCTGTTTGCTTCCCAAGTTCTGTCAGAATGTCTTGGTACGTGTTCACCATTTGTTCACAGTGAGCAAGAACGTTTTTGCGTAGATTATCCCAGTGCGGTGCGAGCTCACCAAGATCCTTTAGCTCCTGGTTTCTATTATAGAAGGGGAGGTAAAAGAAAATATTCTTTTGATTAAGAAACAAACTACTAGAACAAAACAAAACAAACAAACACTAGGAAAAATGAATTAGTGAGAGATAGAAAACACTCAACATCAACTTAATACTTAATTTTTTTTTCCTTTTTATTAAAGCAGCAATTGGATGGAATCAACACTGCAATGGTATTAGTATCAATCCCACCCAGGACTCAGTTTCTAAAGTAGGAAATGGGACAAATACTTGGCGATCCATGAGTTATTAGTTATTGGCTTCAACCCTATCATGAATCCACATTTGATCCATATCTAGAGTTAGCTAGGTGGCATTGCGGATGGAAGACTAGAGAGACCAGGATTAGAATAATGTTCCAGATACTTGCTACCCCAATGACTCTGATTAAATCATTTAACTTCTTTTAACTTCTTCTCAGTTTCCTCATCTGTAAAATGAGGATAATAACTGTGATACTTATGCACATTTATTCTGAAGACCAAAAGTAACAATGTATATAGAACATTTAAAATACTATTTAAATATTCCTAACAATTATTATTATTATTATTACAGGTAGCATTTATATAGGGCTTTCAGTTCTCCTTCAGTTCTTATCTTACAAAATATTGAAAATACTTTTAAAAGAGAGAGATGGAGGTACGTCTGGAAAAGTGGGCCAGTACAAAAATGAGAGTAAGAGAAAAACCTATAGGCTCCATTGCACCTATAGAATGGCATGAGATCTAAATGAAGGCCACAGCATGTGATTCGCCTCCTGATAGAAAATTCATCGAAAGATGTGGACAAGCATATAGCAGGATGAGAAGCATGAATGAGTTTGGATGTTTACCACTGGAAGGCACACTTAAACGAATGACTTCACAGAGCCACTGACTTGTATGTATGGTCTAAATTAAAGTAGTATGAACTCATACTTGTAGCTTTAGTACAAAGAGCTTAAGTTATGTTAAAAAGAGGTTCAATCTATTTTATCTCCATCTTTTAGTCAAGACTGTGGAATGCTTGTTTGAGGCATAGGAGGAAGAACACAAGCCTTAGGGTTAGAAGACCTGAACTTACAGCCAAAGATAATTAACTGGGTTGAGGCTGGGAAAATAATTGTCTCTCTAAGCCTCTCAGTTTCTTCATTGGTAAAATGGGGTTAATAAGACTTGTACTACTTATAGTATATCAATGGGTTACTGTAAAAATGCCAAGTTGATGATGAGTCACTCTGAACATAGGCCAGTGGGTTTTGGACAACAGCCACTGAGCTCATACTGAGGCTTGTACTGAATCTTTTGCAGGTTGGCAGAAGAATCTGTCAGAGCTTACGCTCAGTTGTGTGACGAATGAAAAACCCCAAGAGATGAAGTTTCTTGGTAACTAATAATCAATTTATTAATTAGGCCAGCTAATAATCAATAAATTGATGGTCAGTGGGTTTTCCCAGAAAAACAAAGACAAAAACATGGAGATTCTGAAAACCTTAAATATTTTTTGAAAGAGAATGCCCTTGACAAGTGAAAATCAACTCTGATTGAAGGATATTTAATGAGGAGGTGGGCTAGAAGTCTTCAGCTCAGGGGAACACATTTCTATCCAGACCACTCTGGTTGGTTTTCTCCTTCATGAGCAGGGTCACCCTAAACCCTAATGGAAGGGTACAAGGACAGGAGCTGTGCTCCTTGGGTCAAGAACTTGCCCAAAGTAGATTCTATTTACACTCTCCACAGAAGTAAGGTCTCCTAGTTGGGTGGGGTTCCACCCAAGATCAAGAGCATGTTCCTGCAGGGTTAGGATTAGACTCATCAATCAGCCTCATCCTTCAGAGACTGATTTTTTTTTTTTTACAGGGGCTGGGCCTTAAATGAGGAAATAAAAGAACAAAAGCCTGGCTTCTAATTTAATAATTTGTTATTAATATAATAGAAATAATTTCTCTCAGTTTCCATTATTTTTAAGAAGCACAAAGAGATATCAGAGTAGGGCTTTGTGGAAGAAATAAGACATCTATACATTTAAAAAGAAAAAGAAAACACCGTGTCACTAATAGGTCTGACGAAGTTATTCTATTTCTGACTTCACCTTCCACCAAAAGGACAATTTGAATAGGTAAAAGATTTTATGTTTGTGCTATATTATTTCTTCATCAAAAGAAAATCTTTTTGTTTTCAGCCAAAGACAAAGTTTATCAGAACATCCATCATATTAGGCAGACTCTTAAGGAGTCTAAGCATTCATAATGCTAACGCAAGTGGGCCAAATCTTAAGAATCTGAGCAGCAGCTAGATTTTAAGAATCTGAGCAACTTAATGGAGACAAGATGGACCTTATATACAGAAAGACTGTGGGAAGGATCTAGGACTGGCCAATAGTCTGGAGTGACTGGAGGAGGGGTCTAAGGAGGATTTGGAGGGGAGTGGCCAGTAAACTGGGGTGACTGTGAGGTAACAGAAAGTCAGGGACCTGGACTGCTTGGCCAAGGGAGAATGGAGCCTAGATAGGATTAAGGGTGGGAAGTAGCCAGGGGCAATTGGGAGGTAACAGAACAGAATTGGGAGATTGGGCATAGCCACAATGAAAGGCCAGGTGATAGGATTATAGCATTAGGTGAACAGATTTGGCCAGATAGGAAAGTCCAGGGTTTTTCCTTTTTGGGGTCCAGATCCCATCCCCATTATTCCTCCCTGAAACAAATGGGATCCAAATTCTTTACTAAAATCAACAAAATATTCAAAAAACAAGAGGAAGACCTCTACTGCACTGAGTGGATCCTCTGTGGAAGATTTATAGAAGGACATGGATAAAGGGGTAAGGCATAGTGAACCTGTCAAGGAAATCACCTATGTACTTAGAAGTATAACCAAAAGCCAAGACTTGCTTTCAAATATTTAAAAACATCTTTTTTTTGCTCCCCTCAAAGGAATTCTAATTTTCATTGCAATATCTTTCACCTAATGGGCAGGTAGGTGGTAGAGTGGATGTAGCTCCTAGCATTAGGAAGACCTGAGTTCAAATCCATCCCGACACTCACTAGTTGTATGACCCTGGACAAGACACTTAACTTCTGTGTGCCTCAATTTCCTCATCTGTAAAGTGGGGATAATAAGAACACCGAACAAACAGGGTAATTATGAGGATCAAATAAGATAATATTTGTAAAGTGCTTAGCACAGTGCCTGGCACATGATAAGTGCTATATAAAGGTTATTATTATTTTTGATGGCCTTACATTGGTTATCCAGTATTCATTTTACTCATATGCTTTCTGTAAGTTGACTTAGGGGTGAGAAGGAGGCTTTGGAGTGTGGGGTGGTTTCTTGGGTGATGACGGTAAAAAGGATACCAGAAAACATCCTTTCCTCATTAAGTACAAAAGAACCTGTAGAATTATGTGAGATATAGAGTCACAGAGAGGAGTCATCAGTGTATTTATATGTGTAAGTTTTATTTTATAACTAGGGTAAAAAAAAAAACTGGCTGAATTCTCAACAAAGGAATGATAGGTAGTTTTACAATTGAGAACATAGCAGCATCCTCATTCACAGTATTCTGAGAGACCCAAGGATGTACTATAGTTCCTTCTCTGAAACATGGGAATTTAATCCTTACCACATGAATTTAAGCTTAACACCTTTTTCAGCACCTTCATTATTTAACCTGCTTTCTTCACCACCATGATACACAGCACTCATTTGATTCCTTTAGTCAAATCAACAAATTATCAACAAGAATTACTAAGTGTTTACTATGTGTCAAGCACTGTGCTAAACTGATGATACAAAGACAGGCAAAAACAGATTCCTAATCTTAAGAAGCTCAAATTCGAATGGGAGAGAAAACATTTAAACAACTATGTATAGAAAAGACCTATTCAGGGTAAACTTGCAATAATCTCTGAGGGAACATGTTAGCTTTGAGGGGGACAAGGAAACGTTTCTTGAAGAAGGTAGTATTTTAACTTGAAGAAAGCAAGAGAAACCAGGATGCAGAGAGGAGGAGGGAGAACATTCCAGGCATGGAGGAGAGCCAGTAAAGATGTCCCGAGTTGAGAGACAGAGTGTTTCATTCAAGAAAGAGCAAAAAAGGTCAGTGCCTCCAGATTGTAGAGGATGTGTAGGGAAATAAATGGTAAGAAAACTGAAAAGGTATGAAGGTGTCAGGTTATGATGGGCTTTGAAAGCCTAGAAATGGGACTACTTCTTGGCGTAGTGGACAGAGCACTGGCCCTGGAGTCAGGAGGATGTGAGTTCAAGCCCTGCCTCAGACATTTATAAGTTGTGTGACCCTGGGCAAGTTACTTAACCCAGATTTTCTCAAAAAAAAAAAAAAAGCCTAGGGAGAATGAGAATGTAGCACAAATAGGAGATAGAATTATTCAACTCTTACTTTCTTCTCCATTAAATAAATTTGGATTGGAAAGGACAGAATGGAAATGGCTAATAGCAAGGTGAAACCCAACTAAAACCATGTTAAGTACATTATAGAAAGGATTTTTTCATCCAGATATAGACCGTCCTAACTGGCCTTTCAACTCTGAGATTCTGAAATTCCAAGCCTCTTCCTCTCTTTTCTTGCAACATTCCCATGCACATACTGACCTTCAGCAACAACAAACAGAACCATATCAAGCAAACAATACATTCATTTCAGGTCCCAGAAATGTGTCTTACTATTCCTGTTGTACCAATAAATCAGGTTATCAACCTTTTTTCCCCTCTTGCTTTCATTACAGCCAATGCCCTTGCTTCTACAGATTTGCTATCAAAGGAATACAGCAGTTTTATACCAGACACAGTATTTTTCAGCTCAAAATACAGAAGTTAAGTAATCTATAGTTTAGGCAATTAGGGGAAAATATTAATATCCACATTGTTTGATATGAATTTGATAAAAAGCACTGTGTGTGCCAAAGCATCCCCTTGTCCTTATTGCATTGAGGGAGAGGAAAAGGAATATATAGTGCTAAGTGTTTTATAAATAGTGCCTCACATG